ATGGTGTGCTACGGCTTCATTGGCTGCACCGTCACCCGCCACTTCAACACTTTGCGCAAAGAGGACCAGCGTAAGAGGAGGCTGCTGAAGATCATCACCACGCTGGTGGTGGTGTTTGCTGCCTGCTGGATGCCCTTCCATGTCGTAAAGAGTGCTGACGCCCTCTCCTACCTGGACCTGTTTCCTGACACCTGTGCCTTCCTACGCTTCCTGCTGCTGGCTCACCCGTATGCCACCTGCCTGGCCTACATCAACAGCTGCCTCAACCCCTTTCTTTATGCCTTCTTCGACCTGCGCTTCAGATCCCAGTGTCTGTGCCTACTCAACCTGAAGAAGTCCTTGCATGCGAGCCCCGCAAGCTCCCTGTCCTCTCAGAAGACAGAGGCTCAGTCTCTGGCCACGAAGGTGTGACGACAGCTGAGGGCCCAGATGCATGCTGGGGAAGAGGTGAACAATGCCAAACAATGCAGGTAAATCAAAACTTTACAGCGCTGGGTGCTTGCCCGCAGAGCGTCTGTGGTCAGTTTCAGGGTGTCACCTTTGCTCCTCTCTGACTCTGTGGACTACTGAAGACGACTATCAGGATCGTGGTTTTGGGGTCTGACCACAATCAAGCTCCAGCCTCACTTACAGTGGCAGGACAGCAAAACTGAACTACTTAATACAGGGGACCAAGCCTGAACCATGAACTATTTCTTTTTATTTTGAAAAAGTGGAATGTATTTTAAAAAGACTAAATGCTCATGTGTTTCTCTTGGTTCTCCTGTGGACTTTATGCAAAATACTGAGCTTTGAACTCTGTCCTCAAGTCCAGATGAAGTGTATTCCTCATGTATTTGCCCCCCGCTGTTCTTGTATTCATTTGTAAGCACTTGACTTGAGGTGTGATTTCTATCAGACAACCCCGCTCTCCAGCTCAGTCTGTAGTATCTGCATCACAGCCAGCAGTGTGACGTGTGTGTGTGTTTGTGTGTGTGTGTAGGAAGGGTGTGCCAGCCAGTAAGAGGTGTTGGAGTCTGATAAGAGTGTTGTAAGCAGAGACAGAGATAGTGGGAGGGGGGGTAGGGAGTCCCAGACAGACGGACAGATGGCAGCTGACAAATGTTTTCAGGCTGGTGGAGGGTCCAATTAAAAGGTGACTGCTTTGACAGTCTGCTGGTGTGTATGTGTCTGTGTGAAGGAATGAGTTTGTTGAGTGCCAGAATGACAATGAATTTGTTCCTGACAAATATATGAAAGCATTTTGTGAATACACATTATTTTAAATCGATGTTTATGATTTGTAATAAAAAAGGTGCTTTGAAAAAACAAATATTCTCTTTATGGTCTCACTCTGTTGCTTGTGATAGCTTGTTAAGTCTTGCTGGAATGTATTTTCTCCCATCCAGTGAATGTGCTTCTTCCTGTTGGTGCATTGCTGAGGGGAGGCAGTCTGCCTCCCATTGTGTTTCGCAGGGCTGAAATCAAAGCATATGTCTGCAGGAAATGCATGTTCGACTTCTGTTTCCCTCTTCAACCATGTTTGTTTCTTCTCCTTTTACAATTCGCTCACACAAACAATCAGTGAGTACAAAAGTTTCTAAATTGGATCAACCACAGGACATTTGGCTTTGTCCCAGTGGTGTTACGTCTTCCATGGGTTAATTACCAGAACCTCAGGAATCTTTTTCTGTACCAATATGTCTCAAAATACATCTAAAAGTGTGTTTCCATGTTGTTAGTCTATCACAATTAACCATGTGACATTTTAATGAATTGTTTTTAGCAAACAAACACCACAACAGATTGTTGAGCTTTAAATTAGAATTCAATGATTAACCATTTTGACTGTAATAAGCTTTTTACAGGATATAATCAGCAACAGAAGGAGACAGAGGGATTGGACTAATCCTTGGTTACTGATTTGTAGTCGACTATCTCTCCCTGTGTAATACATGTGACAGAGAATGGCTTAATCTAAATCACCTACAATTACAGTTCACAACGGCGAGCCATTTAGTTAAACATGGGAAAAACTGAACTCCTCTTTGAAGGAAAACTTATCTGTGTCTTTAATGTCAGACAGGTGAAATCTGAAAATGTACTTGTGAATGGGAAGAGAGAGAAAACCAACAGCTGCAGCAACATTCACTCTGGTGCCTTCATCACTGTCCCAGCTCTACTTAATCTCATCTGATGGTACAAACACAGACATGCAAAGAAAATCTTCAGTACACCTATGAATTTACTTTAGAAAGTCTGTATATGAAAGACTGGGGATTTTCTGAAAACCAGTTGTATTTTGCAACAGGAAATAAATCTGAGATAGAGGTCCAACAGCTGATTAATTACACATTGTGACACCATCTGTGCACTAGAGTCTGCACAACAACATGTTTTATTGGTGAAACAGCATACAGTACATTTTTTAATTCCATAGAGCAGCTATGTTTTACAAGATGACTTGACACATTATCCTCCACCTGTCAGCATCAAAGTCAAATCCTGCCGCGAAAGATAATCCGGATAGATTATTTTCATGGGTTTTCAAGTTTTATGAAGCTAATGTGATCATGTTACAAAGATTTCATGGCATGAACTTTGCCAAAAGCTAGTGTTGTGAGAGAAAAGAGGATTTAGGCCCTTTGATTCCCTATATAGACTGGGTGTTGTGACTGTTCAGAAATGATTACATAAATGTTTTCATTCCTCTGTAATAACAGAGTGTGAGAATGAAGTGCTGGAACCCAGTGTGCCGTGGGGCATCCCAAGGGTATAAACTGTCTTCTTTCTCCCTCTCTTATAAATGACAAATGTCTAGAACAGCTTTCTATTACAAATATTCATGAGCACAAATTATCATTTAACCTTTCCTTCAGAAAAATACTTTAAAAAAAATTTAAATACTAAAATTCTATTGTTTTCTATATTGATAATGTGACAGAAACATTATTGTATCTGCACCTGTACCGAAGCAACAGTAGTTTTGTCTGTGCAAAGATAAGCAGCAGTGTTGTCTGAAAACAAAAATCAAAGCCCCATAAAATGACAACAAATAACAAACTAATACCACTAACCCTAATAGCATCTTGTAGACATCAGTCAACACCTGAAACAACCATTTTCATTTTCTAATAACTTATAACAACATAAATCTGCTTTTACTTTGAACTAAATGTTTATATAATATACTAAATGTTTGAAAAGTCCTCATTAATCCCTCTGTCCCCAGAAACCAGTTAAATAGTCAGTCAACAGTTTCCATTCAAAGTATTTTCTATCTACAAAGGTCTGTTTATCCTACATAACTAGGACCTTGCTTTAGTATTTTCATTTTCTGTCACTTTATACCTCTACTCCACTATATTAAAGAGGTATTTATATTTATATTTACTGTTCTTTTTATTCCACTATGTGTATTTGACATTTGTTGCTACTTTGCAGATTGCAGTAAGACTTTACAAACAAAACATATGATCAGCTTATAATATAGAACATTAAAATGATGACTACACATGAATGCATCGGAAGTGATAATTCAGTAGTATAATAAATAGTAATATAACACTTGCAAGAGTTTTGTATGAGTAATTGTTTAATTAAAACCATTAACATTAATGACCATATGAAACCAGACACAAACAGGATTGAAACCACTCAAAACATCATTGGTACTCAGCTACCGAACATCATTAATACTGGTGAGGTGAGGTCCCTGCACAGAGCCCAAAGGATAAAACTGTCTTACATTATGTAAGAGAGTTGTTTATATCTACTCTATATAATTGTTGTATATATGTTTTATTCTTTGCAAATAAGGGAAGTACAAGGCTGAATTTCATTATACAACCCTGCATAAAATGGCAATTAAATTACATTGTATTCTTTTGTCCTTTTAATTCAATCACAGATTTATTTTTTACTTTCTTTTAGTCTCTTAGCAAAATTGTTGCTCATCTCACCCTGAAACAATACAGATCAGGCAAGTTATTACTACAAAACCTACAAAAAGTCATCAAATTGTATAAAAATATATATTTGTTTGTTTTGTTTTTTAATTTCCTGAGCCTTTAAGACTGGACAGAGACGTATTAAAACCAATTATCATCCAACTTTTTGGAGGTGATCTAAACACAGCACAATGCAGACTGTGAGGTCAAACCCAAACTCTTCACTAGACAGGATAATGTTTGTTTACCAAGTGATGTATATCAATAGAAACTGAAGAGGAAAGGTAAGACGCCGAGTTTCTATAGGGGTGCCCACCCTAACTCGTTCATTGTCATATCAATGGATGACAAACAGCCCGTGCCTTTGTGTTGTTTTAAATCAGGCTTGCTGCCACACCTACTGTATGTTAGAAACACATGTGCAGCTATCATAAATCAGAGCCCAATAAACCAGGTCATGCAGAAAATAGACAGAGGAAGTGTGCACACACTTCTCCTCTGTCCTAACAATGGAGGCTGAGTAGCACAGCCAGCAGACTGGACCTTGACCCGGGTCTGACCATAGCGTGGTAGGATGAGATGCTGACCCCTGGAGCGTCTTAAAGGATCTTCGGCTTCCTGCCGCCTGGTCCTGCAGCGCTCCTCCTTGCAAACGTCCTAGGAGGATGAGAGACCTCACGGACAGGATAGGAGTCAGCAGGCCAGGCAGGAAAGGCAAAGGGTGGGCACGGTAGGTGTTCCTGACCGGGGATATCCTGTCTTTCAGAGGCATCTCTCTGCTTTAAGGGCCCTCTGAAATATCCATGCTCCACCTGAGGTCTTGGAGGACATGGGTGCTTGCTTCAGACACTCTTCCTATGTAAGGAAACAAATTGTGTGACAAGTTGTCTCCTCTGAGAGTGCGACAAAGAAGAACTATAGAAGAAAAGGAGCTTAAACATACACAGTGGTAAACGTGTGACTCAAACACCTGAGGTGACAAATCAGAAGTCTCTTTCTCCCTCATTCTCTGCTCTCACTCTGTCTCTCCTGACATGTCAGACATTACAAAGGCACTCATCGTTAGTGGAGACACGTCGTTTCCGACTGCAAAAAAGGTCGGAAGTGCCCAAGCTTTGGGTGACTCCGGATCTCGGTTGAGTCTATGTGAGTCTCAGAGAGGATCATCCTCTTCACAGGGCACAAAGTGTCCCTTCATTCCCTCCTCTATCCTCTCCATTGTGCATCCTTCCCTCACTCGGGCCTAAATGGATGCCCTGTCATCTGCAGCAAGACCGAGCCAGTTCAGAGGCTCAGCTGCAGTGGTTTGATCACAGGTAAAGATAGCTGCACATGCAAGAAAGAAATTATGCAAGAACAGCACCCAGAGAGGCTGTGTGCTACCGCTTTAATTGATTTAGGTAATCACTGCTGTGACGATGATAATATCTAATTCTAAGCTTTAATCTAACATGATAGACTGAAGAGATAATTTAAGGATGAGCAGATTTTGTAGACTTATGATAATTATGCAAACGTGTTGCCAACTGTCCTCTGTTATTGCAGCCACACACACACTCTCCCTCTGTGTATGTGTGTGTGTCACGTATGTTAACATGTTGATGTGTTTGCTCTGTGGATTGTGGCCCAAAAGACAAAAAAATGTCTCTAGGAAAACTATAATTTACTGTGATCCCCTTCCTACTTCCCACAAATCCAAGCAGTGCTTTTAAATAAAAAATCGTACTTTATTTTTCAAGCTTTCACATACAAAACATTTTCAGTCATGGCAGCAAACAGTTGATGCAGCATCACATATAAAGTCATAAAAGGTTGGCTGTGAAATAGAAATAGTAGCAACTGCGTTTCCTTGTAATTAACTCTACTACTGACAAATTCTAGCTTTTGGAGCCTTTAAATAAAGATTTTTCATCACAGATGTAGGCAAACAGTTGATGCAGCACCACATGAAAAGTCATAAGAAGCTCTAGACAAATAGAAATAGGGGACCATGTATATGCTCTCATTTCAAGCTGTATACTAGATGTCAAAATGCACCTAAAATAATATTTTTAAAAAGTCTGTGTAATACCCACACATGCAGGTGCCATTGTAAACAACTACCTTTGATCCTTTCTGCTGCCCACACATTTAATAGCTTCTATCAAATAATGATTCTTTGTTCAGTCCTCAAGCTCTCGTCTCCTGTAAGACATCAGATTTCAGACAGCTGTGACAATCACTCTGCTACACCACCACAGACTGAGTCATAACAATCATGTAGTGGCCGTGCATACAGAAAGATTATGAACTAGACTTTTGCAATAAATGTACAAGATCATACAAACAGGGGCACACAGATGACCTCTTTACATTTTCCTGACAGGTGGCATGTTGAAAGGAGGCCAAGGCACAGGAACCCAAAGAGAGCAGGGAGGCCTTATGAATACTGAGTAATTGGCCCATGTAGAAGATGGCAACAGAGTCCTGACAGTATGAAGAAAATCACTGTAGTGCCAAAACTCTTCCTGAGTACACAGCTTTGTTTTCCAATCATAAAGAGAAGGAAGGAGTAAAAGTTGCATTTCAGGGCATCCTGTCCAGCTACAGTGCGCTGTTAAATCAATAAAAGTGGCTTCAATTAATAGCTGATTTAGAAAGACAGTCAACACTGACACCTAGTGACAACACCGGAACCTTTCTATGCCCGGAACCTAGAGCTGTTGTTAGCCTCGGAGTTGTTTAGGAGAAGGACCGGATTAGGTCTTCGGAAGCTAACTCAATCTAAAACGACAACATTTTTAACCTCTCAGTCTGATACACACTCCGCATGTTGTCTCACCAACAGAAGCGGGTGTGGAGATACGTGGAGGAGGGCAGTCTGCTGAAGCTGAAGTCGTACCTGCGGAAGCACCGGGACCTGGATGTGAACTTCTCCCAGGGAAAGAGGGAGAGGAGCCCGCTGCAGCTCGCCTGCTGCCGGGGAGAGGACGCTGTGCTGCGGCTGCTGCTCAAACACGGAGCCGATGTTCTCCAGAAGGACCGTAAAGGAGACACAGCGTTACACACGGCCGTCAGTGAGGTGTTTAAATGCGGGAGGAGAGGTGAGGAAGGACAGGAGGGGGGAGAGAAGCTGGATTTTAATGTTAAGCATTATTTGTTATGTGGTGGCTTTTGTTTTTCCTGCAGCGTACACGGACCTGGTGGTGCCTCTTAGAAACAGCTGTCCAGATGCTTTGAATGCTCCCAACAGCGCGGGAGTCACACCTAAAGATATGCTCAAGATGTGGAAGAAACATTCAAAGGTAACAATAGACAGTTAGATGAGAATCAATGTTATAGTCAGATACTGTTTTCTGCTGTATTTATCGATGTTACCCACTGTATAATAACCCAGCAATTACAAAATAATTGTATTTAGTATTATTGATTTAGATTGAACCTTTTTTCCTAAAGGGACCCCTTATCTATCATTGAAAAAACCCAGTGACCCTCGACTAAGTGACATATATTCTGGATATTTCACATTATATGAAATATAATATAATATATTATGTTCATAACAACAACAGGACAGAACAACAACTGTAAACTGTACAGTTAGTAACAGTAACTGCAGGTAGTTTGTAAAATGAGTGTTTTGGATTATTTTCTTTAAGCAGATTATATATGATAATTGCATCCTTTATATTTTTTTAGGAACTTTTTACAATTCTCCTTAATGTATTTAAAAGAAAATGAAACAATCATCTTTAACTTAACATGTTTCTTATTGGGCAGAATCAGTGTTTCCTTCTTCATTTAAAAGTTATAACGTGAATAATAATATAAACTTTAAATAACAATTTTGTTTAGTTTTCTTAAGAAAAATTCATTAAATGCTAAGATATAGACTAGGCCTACTGTTGATTTTTTTTTAAAGATTTTCCTACACCCGTTAAAATTAAGAAGGCCTCCCTCATGAAGGTTGGCGACCCCTAATGGGGGTCTGGACCCCCAGGTTGGGAACCAGTGATTTACAGAACAGATGTGGAACAGCCTGAGAAGTCTTAAGAAACATTTTCAACTATATGTCTTTATTTTTACATTATAAGTTATTAATTAACTGAGGGTATAACTGAAAGACAGAGGGATGTTGGTGTTTTTGTGCTGGTTGTGCTTTCAGTGTTGATTCTATGAAACAAATGTTTGTGAATGAGCTTCAGAGTCACATGTGAGCAGACAATAACAATTGTGTATCTGTATTTTTTTTGGTGGTTGATCATATTTAAATAATAATTTCCTAATATTCTTCACAGACTACAGAAAACCTGAGATCTCTGACTGAAGAGCTTGAGAAGATAAATAAGAAGTTTGTGGAGCTCTCTAAAGCATTCAATGGTAAATTTAAACTCCTTCTTTAATGCTGAATTGTATTTAGACTTCCATAATAATGACACTGCCATATTTGTTTCACAGCGATAGATGGTCTTCCTGATGATGATGATGATGATGACGATGAAGACTTTAAGGACTGGGCTGAACGTATCAGAAATGAGTATTTCGACAAAATGCGAAATGCCACAGGTGGAACGCCGTCGTCTTCTGGATGGAGAAGCTGGAAGAGCAAACAGGAGAGAGATCATCTGAAGGCACGTAAAGAGGAAGAGGCTCGGCAGGGTGAGAAGCGCAGGTACGACGAAGGGTGTGCGGCTACTTTTAATGCTGGCTCTTCATCTGTCAGCACAAAGCTGAGCTACAGCGACATCCCCTGGCCGGCTCCACGAGGCACAGTGCAGGAGATGGTGGACGTGATGCTGCACGGCGTGGACCGAAAGGACCTGCCGCTCTTCCGTAAGATGCTCCGGAAGCAGCAGGCGCTGTGGCATCCCGATAAGTTTGCTCAGCGCTGTGAAGCTCGATTGGAGGAGAAGGACAAGACACAGATCCTGGATACGGTCACGGCTCTGTCGCAGGAGCTCAACAGACTGGCCCAGAGCCTGAGGGATTTAAAGATATAATGTGTAACATATTAAAAGGGTCTGAAGTGACCTCTGTTGGGTACTTGTGTCGTCCCAAATGTTCAAACCAGGAGAACAAAATGTATCATTCATGTATGTTTTTCTGTAATAGTATATTTTTGCACACATTACTATGCTCCAATGTACTGTTTTCCTTTAATTTTAAGTACATCTAACATAGTCACTGAAGGCTGTGAGGGCAAATTCCTCTGATGTGACTATATGTGTTGACCTTTGCCCCGTATTAGTGACCATTTCCTGACCAGAGCTGTGGTTATCTCACAAATTGTAAAATCCTACAAGACACAGAAACACTTTTGTGTCCTCGGAAGGAAGTCGTGTACGTCACCAAGTCGAGATAAGTTATGTTCAGGAGAGAATCTCCCTTTACCATCGGATGTTACAAACTATAACAGCTCACAGCTCCTTCCTTTCAACTGAAATAGATTTTTGTGATTCTTCTGAACTCTGAACTCTGTTTGTTGCATTAATCATTTACTTCACACGCTTCATTTGGTCGCCTGTCAGTGGCATCATATCCCCTCTAGTCCCACTGGTCGCTTCTGGACAAACACGGGATGAATCGGAGTGAGGAAGGAAGTCAGCAAACGTGACTAAACGTAACGTGAGTTAAATATAAATACATGACCTCGTCTGTGAACATGATTTCTGTCTGAGTCAGCAGTCAGATAGATTTCAGAAATGATGGTTGTTAAATTGTTTGATGTGAGAGAGCCCCGGTAGTAGACATTACATACTGTGCCTTTTAAGCTTTAGTCAATTATATCATATTATGTGCTTTCCTGTGAATATATGACTGTAAAAACAAGATATAAGGTTGATCCTTCATCAGGTGAAATTCATACATGCAAACAGCAGCAGAGCATCTTTGTAAATGTAAAATAAAAACAAATCAGAGGGCTGCAACAGCACCTCTTTGCATGCATTCAAATGAAGATAATTGAACTCTGAAGTCTGAGCTCTTCTTTTAAAACCTTGCAGTATGTTTAGAAATAATCAAAAGATGCAGTTATATATATATATATATATATATATTATATAACGGGACGTCACAATGTCCATTTCCCAACAATATAACTTAGCAACAGAAGATATAATTTAAGAATGAATTGGCAGTTTTCACAAACATGTTGACTGACACAATTAATAAACAATAACAATAACACAGTACAGGCTTTCATCTTTCCATTCTTTTGGATTTCACAAATCATGTGAGTGTACTTAACTAATTGTGATCCTGTGAGTGAGTTTAAAATACAAAAATAAATCAGTTTAGAACCAAAAGGTTTGTTCCCAGCTAGAATAAATAAATAGCAGGTTATCCTTGGAAACCAAAGTGTGTTATATTCTACAGGCGCTCTGTTGATGACGTATCCTTCATTACAATGGTTTCATTGGTGGTGGCTGGTTTGTTAGAGAGCACAGCGGTTCCACAAATATTCTCAATAGTCTCAACAGACATGAATGTAAACTGCTACTTCACTGGTTGTCAGACGGATACAGCATCTGGGTGGTTATTCTAGTGTTTGTTTTTCAGTTCAGTTTAGTTTCCAGATTGGTTCAGCTCGTTTCAGTCTTGTTTGTGTTGTTTGAAAATGTTTGGTTTTAGTTTTAGTTTTTTTATTATAATATGGGGGATTGCAATACAAACAACATGTGTGAAGGTAATTGACTCACAGTCATGTAGACATCGCAGTCTCAGTAACATGTACCAACACCTCCTCGTGCTTGTTGTGTTGACAAATTTGGCCAAAACTAAAGACATTTCCTGTATTTAATTTTAATTTGTTTAGTTTTAGATTTTTTTAAAGTCTAGTTTTAGTTTAGTTTTTATTTGAGTTAACTAAAATGATTTTTCACACCTAGTTGTAGTTTATAGTTGTAGTTTTTAGTTAACTATATTAACATTGTGTTTGTAGGGTTTGTTGTTTGATATCAGGAAGCATGTTCCTCCTCAATATCCGTGTTTTAATTCATTTATCCAGATAAAGGCTTTGGTTTGAGGAGAGACACTGTTACGTCAACAGACTCTCCTCTGACCTTTTCCTGGAAGAGAGCTGTCACATCAGTGCCTGAATCACCGATTTGAACATTTGATATTCAGTGTATCAACCCCCAGAACCAGTGCTCCTCGCCACTGAGCTGTTTGTTGAGCTTGTTGAAACTGTGTTTTTCATACAGTTCTGTTTAGTTTATCTTTTTTAAACCTAATAATTAATTTAAGAAAAAAAAATGTAACACAAAGTTGTAAGTTAAAACATTCTTGATTACGCAGCTTTTACTTGAAATTTTTTTTCAAACATTTTTTAAGTGACACTGACTTAATTTTTTAATCTTTATTTGTATTGTGAAAAAAATGTGTAAAAAGTACTTTAATAGGAATGTTTCTGTGACTAAGCCGTGTCAATTCTAGTAAAGTTCCTTTATCAAGAATGTTTTAACTTAAAAATCTGAGTTAGCGTTACTAAAATTTTAAATTTAAACTGCTACTACTTTTTTGAGTTCAATTAACGTAAACGTAAGGTGTGACTATTTTGTAGAAGTGCCTTGTTGAATTAGTCTCGATAACTTTAAGGACGCTTTGTTGGTGTTATTTAGCTTTGTCTTTGTCTCCTGTGTTGTTAGGTATGGAGCTCAGTATTTTTGTTCTGTTTTTCAGTTTGATCCTGTAGACCAGTCGAGCCTTTTGTTCTCTAGTTAGTGTGTTTTTGTTTATTATTTTGGCCTTAGCCTAATAGATTTTATGTTTTTCTATAAACAAACATTATTCATTGTTGTCCTCTCTTAGATATTAAATAAAGGTTATAACAAATGTCTGTACAATCCTGATCAGTGAGCAGTTGAAGATCACACACACACGTTGGTAATGTAAATGTGTTCATTGTGAATATTTGAATCTGACCTTAATCTGATGTGATTTACATTTTCCTGAAACGTGAGTTTGTACTTGCAGGATTAAACCAGCTGGTTCCTGCAGCGTTTGGGTGCTGAACTGAACACTGAGCATAACCACGTTTTTAAATGTCTGATTTAAAAAGAATAAAAGTAACAACATCCACGTTTTCTCTAAGCCTGAGAAACATTTATGTTGAGTCATGTTGGCCTACTGACGGTATTTTCACTCCTACAGCACAACAACATGTTGTCAGTCAGTGTCAGTAAAAAGATGCCCATACATGTGCGGCTCTATTAGACATAAACAACAACAATTTATTATATTTCTTCACAACATGACAACATTAACATATAACCTAAAACATCCGAAATAAAGGATTTCACACACAAAGAAAAGCAGATGGTCGGCCCGCTTTCAGTGATGGAACAGAACAAGAAGATGCGCTGGTTGCCAGGTTTGTCAGCAAACCCTCTTTAGAGAAAACAACTGGCCATTCACATGCATAATTTAAAACGAGACAAAGGATTTTTTTTTTTAATCTAAACTAAATGTAAAAAAAAAGAGTAAAATGTGAATTAGGCGACACAGCCTAATATCACAATAAACTAATGATAATCTGTTATTAATTCCCATTTTTTTTCTGAGGACCCCCTCTAGTAAAAAAAGGCCACAATTGTTATAATCACAAAGGTTTAAGAGCTGAAAATGTCATTTTTATTATCATTTTGGAACAGAAAAGTTACATTATTTTCATAATTTTTAAAATGCTCATATTGTTAATATTGCATGCCTTCGTACAACCTTTTGTTTGAGCTATAAAGACATCAGTATGCTTCGATAAGTTAAGCAAATATAGACTCAACTGATGTTGATACAGCAGGGTGTGAAATAGATGCAGGTTCGACTCTACACGGTGCAAATCAACCAAATGTCAGTGAAACTACATTTATTTACACATTATGTTCCCTGCTCGTAACTATACGTCTGTTAACTGTCAAATCATCCCTCTAGCTCCGTATATTTCCACACCTCCTTCCTTATGCGGCCAAGAAACACGCCGATGATTATTTCAGAGGATGCGACGATATCTGGCAACCCGGAGACGCAACTGTGTCAATTGCCGGGCGACGTAGCGCGAATAAAGGCCGTGGTCTATTTCTGACTGTGGCTTATATTTTAACGTGGTGCTGCCTTTCGGCCCCTCGTTGTCTCCATGGCCGGTTGATGATTTATCTTTTCGGTTTGCCTGTTGCACGTTTCTGCGCCAGCGTTGCGTCGTCTCGGTGTTTTTTTGTTGTTGTTGTTTTTTATTTCCAGGTTGATTTATTGAAGTGAAAATCTTGAAAGCTGTAAAAAAGTCACGCTGACTTGTTGGTCCTTTTTCACCATTTGCTTGCTGTTCATACGCCTGTGTCAGTAGCCTACAGTACAAACTGAAAATGTGATGTAATTCAGAGTCTGAAGAATAAAAAACAGCCATGATTCCTACTGAACTGTCGTGTCCCACTGCTGTAAATGTACGTTTTTTGGACCAGATATGGAATTAATTATGAGTTGTGCATTTGTGGCTGTATCCTGGCTTGTTTTTGTTTGTTTCACATGAGGAAAATCTGTTTTCTCAGTAGGTTTTTTTGTGAACTGGATCCTTGAGAGGACACGTTAAACCTTCCTTTTGTTGGATTTTTATTTTATATATTTTTTGGTAGTACAACACACGTGAGGGTCGGGAGGATTGAACTGTAGGCCTTCATCCTATACAGTAAAATCATTTGCTTCATAAACCTGGTCAGTTGTTTGTAAACTGTAAACTGATTCTTTCTGTACATGAGACGAAATAGAAATAAATTTGTTCCCACGGTCTGTCAACGTCTGTGATTTTATTCTACTATGAGAGATTATGTGTTTAAAGATTACTCAAAATTGAACGTGAGACAACACATAAAAGTACCAAAGCTGAACTAACTAAAGGTTGACTGATAAAGTGCAAAGATTAATCTTTATATGTAAAATAATACTTATAGTTTCCACCACACACACAGACATACACACTTATACACACTTTACAAACACACAAAAGTTAATCTTGTTAAATTAACACAAAAAATACTCCAAAAGAAATTATAAATCCATCAAACTTTTTCAAGAATTGAGATTTAGTGGCATCTAACTGAACACTGCTCGTCACAGCCATATTTGCTATTATTAACAAATACAAATACAAGTAAACTAGGGTTTTTTTTTAATGGCAAAAAAAAAAACCACTAACGTATTTTTATATGCAAATGTTTATGATAAACATGGATTATTTTTTGTCTCCAGTTAATCAGAATCTCTAAAATAGTTAATAGGCTATATGATTTATTACATGCACATTATTAATATTAGACCCCTATTTTTAGCACTTTTTGCACATTAATAAACTGTACATTTTATCTTTTATATATAGTTATATATATATTTATATATATGTTTTTAATATATGTTGTTTGTATATCTGGAGTTTGTAACAAAAATTATTTCCCACTGGGATTATTA